AGCATCAGCCCAGAAAGAAAACAGGAAATCGCAAATAAAATCATTAGTGACAAATAAGGCTAGGCTCCATTAATAGAGGGATAGAATCAAGTTCATGTTTAGTGTTAACAACACATTATAATATCTTGTAAAAACCACACTTGGAATATTGAATCCAGTTGCCATGATATAAAAAAAATGTTGAGACTCTAGAAAGAGTGCAGAGAAGAGCAACAAAGATGATTAGGGCAGAGGTCCGCAACCTTTTGGGCACCAGGGACTGGCTCAGTGGAGAGAGGTTTTTCCACAAACCGGAGAGCATGTGGTTTTGTGTGCTGCTTGTTTATGCAGACTGGCTGCTGGCATGCTGCGGCCCGGTACTGGTCCATGGACCGGATATTGGGGACCCCTGGATTAGGGGACTGAACATTAAAACATATAAAGAACGGTTGCAGGAATTGGGTATGTCTTGTTTAATAAAAAGAAGGATTAGGGGTGACATGATAGCAATCCAATGTTTAAGGGACTGCCACAAAGAAGAGGTGGGGGGGTCAACCTATTCTCCAAAGCATCTGAAGGCAGAACAAGAAGCAATGGATGGAAATTAACAGAGGAAAAATCCAATCTAGAACTAAGGAGAAATTTCCTAACAGTGAGAACAATAAGTCAGTGGAACAGCTTGCCTTCAGAAGTTGTGAGTGCTCCATCACTGGAGGTTTTTAAGAAGAGATTGGACAACCATTTGTCTGAAATGGTATAGGATTTCCTGCTTGAGCAGGGTGTTAGATTAGAAGACCTCCAAGATTCCTTCCAACTCTATTATTCTGTTAAAATCAGAGATTAAACTGAATAAGGAAATCAGGGTCAAAGAACTGAAAATGCAAACACTATGCCGAGCAGCAATACATAGACAGTTCAGGAATGAAACAGCACTAGCACTTAGATTTATATGCTGCTCCATAGTGCTTTACACCACTCTCTGAGCGGTTCACTCCCAACAATTTGGCTTCTCATTTTACCAACTTCAGCAGGATGGAAGACTGAGTCAACTTTGAGGCAGTCATGATCGAAATCCTGACTGTGGGCAGAGTTAGCCTATAATACAGCATTTTAACCACTGCGCCACCACAGCACAGAAGTTTTCCGCTCTAGCTGTTAGATATATAGGCCAGGTTGAGCAGATGAGGAGGAAACTCCCAACTATACCGAATGCCTCCTCTGAAGAGTTCATCATCAGATTCATTCTTACTTATCTATAATCTTCACTATCCTTGCAATATAGTGAGAACTGTCTTTAAATACCTTTATATTTTCTCAGTTTCCATTATACTACATGTGCAAGAAAAGTTGAACCTGCAGAATTTATGTTCATTTAGGCTCAGTTCTGCTATGGAACTAAACCTGGTATGAAGTGACTCACTTAATTAAGTACAGTCTTAATTTGTATCACTAAGCAAAAAAGAAGTAAGCAGTAGCAAATATATATAAAAAGTAACGTGTAAAATAAATATCCAATACTTTTCAGTAACAAAATGTATTCATATGTTAAATTGTTAACTGAATTCACGTTAAAAACTTGTTTTTCAGAAAATGTATTACAGTTACATATTCAATATCTTTAATCACAGCTGAAGTGAAAAGCATCATACCAAGTCTACTTGATTTTCACTGTAAAATTTAAGTGCTCGAAAGGTTTCATGCTAACACCAACAATGCTAGTTTAAGAATTTATCCATATAATTCTGAAATCAATACATTTCTTCTAAGACATTTTGAAAGTTTTTATTCTGTGGTAAAAGACAAGCATGCCTCGTGTGATTACTGTAGTTGATGTTATTACCAGTTAAATATTAAAATATGTTCCATGCCTCGTTTCTTTAAAAACACTGATTTGTTTAACCACATTTAGTGAGTATGTCAGGAGCATCTCTTACATCTGCTGATTGCTAAATGTAAATGAGAGTTTAATAACTATCATAATTTAACAGAAACCTATAAAGGAGCAGTGTCTTCCTTTCTATTAGGAAGAGACAGGATGCCATTTTTGTAATTGGATGCAGTGCTGGCATAGGAAAAAAAATAAACACAGAGTGCAGTCTTCACTGGCCATATTTCTCACTTATGTCAAACACTCCAAAACTTCTGGGAATCTTCTATAATGATAATTAACATGACAGAATGAAGGTAATGCATATATATTTGAATAGTTTCTCTGAAGCATGGAAAATAACTTGCACTTCGGTATTTAGTTTATGGAAGTTGAACAAATACTGGATAAATCCCTTTTTAACATCACTGACGTATCATTGGGGGCGGGGTACACTTTCCCTTTGAGTGAATGCAAGTACTCCTTGACCTACGACCATAGCTGAGCCCAATATTTCTGTTGCTAAGTGAGATAGTTGTTAAGTGAGTTTTGCCTAATTTTATGACCTTTCTTGCCACAGTTGTTAAGTGAATCACTGCAGTTGTTAGTAACACAGTTGTTAAATCACTCTGGCTTTCCCACTGACTTTGCTTGTCAGAAGGTTGCAAAGTGTGATCACGTGACCTGGGACATTGCAACCACCATAAATATCAGTCAGTTGCCACGTGTCTGAATTTTGATCATGTGACCATGGGGATGCTGCAGTGGTTGTTAGTGTGAAAACAGTCATACAATTGTTTTTTTATAGTGCCACTGTAACTTCAACCGGTCACTAAACAAACTGTTGTAAGTCAAGGACTACTTGCATTTGAAAACTGAATTTTAAATTGTATTTTAACAAAGTGAATGAAGATTTCAGCTACCATATTATAAATGATCAGCAATAAACCATGCCTGGCAGCAACTACTTACGTTATTGTAGAGAGTGCAACTCTAAAATCGGGTTGTGATTGAAATAAATTAGCTATTTGTTCTTCTTTAGAGAAACAGATTAACTTTCCTCATTCTGCTGATCCCTAAATGCTTGGAAACTACTACAGTTAGAATTCTCAAAGTTGAGCAGAGAATCCAACCTTTTCACCAAAATGATGCAACATGTGTTGCGCTCTCATGACATAAGATCTGTCCCTTTTCTACCAGATTATGGTGTCGTGGCAAATTTATAAACGGGTAAAACTGCTGTCTTTGCAGCACATACTTGTTTTTGTCATTTGACTCTTGCCTTTCCCCTGCAGACATCTAAGCAGATATGGAGGAGAGGAAAAAAAAGACGGTGGCCACATGTATGACATCAAAGCCACAATGCATGTAAAAACATTTGGAGCTTTGATCCCATGATGGCAACTGGAGTCTTGACTTTTTTGACCCTTCCAGCTTTAATAAATATTCCTGGGAAGCACATCTGCTGGTTGCTAAGACTGAAACTAGCTCATATCCCTGGAACCACTGAACCCACCAGACTTTAGAACACTGAAGCAAAGCAAAAAAAGAGGCAGACTAAACAAAACCTAGTATCATCCTTTTCACCACCCATTGTTTTCCCACAAAGCATTCTAAACATATGATTACCTTAAACACATGCATTTGGAACACAATAGGAAAAAAATGCCAGGGAGGAGAGGAAGGATTTAAAATGGGCAAACTAACAGAGAACTGCATGCCTATACTATAAATCTCTCACAAGTTTTTTTGCCCCTTCTAAGAAAAATAGCTGTATGTGTGACATATATGTGTACTATAACTGAAAGAAATTGGAAAGGTTGGACGGAAGTTTTGGGGAATTTCCTGGAGTTATTTCCAGAAACTCATTATGTGGAAGCATAATGTTACAATCCAACATGTGGGTGGAGGTGAAAGGATGCAATTTTCTTGCAGTTCTCTACATCCTGAAAATACCTTCCCCTCCTATTTCCTTTTATGGAATATTTCCTCTCCCCATTTCTTCTTTTCTAAATGCAATTTGTTTGTGACAAAAAAGGGATGATGTTCTGAACAATCTGCCAATGTCAAAACTTCTTGAATTCAATGTAACACAGGGCAAAGGAAGTGTTCTGTTGTCCAAATAAAAGCTTGTTTTCTACATTACACCGAAATAAATAATAATAACAAATACACAGTCCATATAAAGATAAATTAAAGAACTATCAAACCAAAGTTAGAACACATTCAAAGTGTATATATGATTGCACCAATTTCTTTAATCCTGCTGGTCTGACAGGTTTTAAATTAACCATAATTTACACTGTGTCCAAGAGCCTCAATTCAGACATTTGCCTGAACATAGGGAAAAGATGACTATGTAGAAAGATGGAGCTTCTATGGCAGAGGTTGTGAACCTATGGTACGTGTGCCAGAGGTGGCACTCGGAGCCCTCTCTGTGGGCATGCGTGCCGTCGCCCCAGCCCTGTCTCCCCCATGGCCCCCTCCTCACCAGCAGCCCCCCTGGAGGAGAGTCACCCCCAGACGTGGCCGCATGGAGCAGCACAGCCAAGGACATAGCCGGGCAATAGGGACAAGACTCCGTCCTTGCACCCCATAGCGTGCAGATGATGTTGCGGGGTGTGGGCGGAGGGCGTGGCTGCCATGGCGCTGCAGGGCTGCCTGGGCGATCTGCTGGGACGGGCCATGGATGCGGTGCATGGCCTGCAGACGGGTGGGGCAGGGAGCGGGCGGGGGCAGAGCAGGCAGGGCGGGAAGCGGAGCGGGGTTGGGGGGCGGTTTTTGGGCACTCAGTCTCTAAAAGGTTTGCCATCACTGCTCTATGGGTTCAGGCAAGAGATCTGAAAGGTGGAGTTGTTTAAATCTCATAATCCAGGACTCTGCTTTATTTGAGTCCTGTCTTGTATAGAGTTCTATCCTTTTCAGGGTACCACCCAACATAGTTGTACAGTAGGAGAAAACTGGAGGAGGCTTTGAGCTCCTAAAGGAAAGACAGAAGATCATCTTAATAATTAAATAAATAAACCCTAAAACCATCAAGTAGAAAATATGTTAATGAGTCATGACATTTGGAAAGCAAGTCTTCAACATCTGCATCCGTCTCTTGATTTAAAAGTGGCAACATGGCAAAAAAAAAAAAAAAAACCTCTCTTACCTCGAAGGCAGAGAAATGTAAGGAAATCTTCTGTCTTAGGTTTCCTTTTGGAGAGGTCAGAGATCTGTGTAGCTGGAGGGGGCAATAATGGCTCCACTATCTTTACTGGAGTTGTGCTGGGACTGTTTGGCTGAGACTGAGCAAACTTTCTTTGTGCTTGCAGCCTTGGCCTATGGAAAAAAAAACACAAGAAACACAAATGCAGTTAGAAGGCAGGGACTAAAATAAAAGATGTAGAATTACAGTTATAATATCTTAAAATCAGTGTCAATATAATTTTCTGTCTTCATTGGGGTTCTTATGATGTCAATATTGGTTTTAAACTTACTGAGGATGTTTGAGTTGTTGTAATGTATAATGTAAACCACTGAGAGTCGTTAAGAGTATGGTGGAATGTACATTTAATCAATAAACCAAAAATAACTACTGTAACTAACTTTAAAAAAAATCCAGAAACTTGCCTTAAAAAGCAAACATCCAATAAAGAGCTTTAAGAAAAAAAATATGTACAACAAATATGCTTTTTGGAAGATCTGGAAGCCAATGAAAAGAACGACAGCCGTGAAGCAGAAGAATGGAGTATTTTTTACTAGTAACAACATTCAAGTGCAAATTTTAAATTGTGATGGTAATGCTAATATGTCAGGGAATTGCACAGCAGATGTCCAAATTAAGTCAGAAGATGCTGACATGAACTTGTAGTTTTATATAAACAAATAATGTTAAGATATTTAAATTTAGTAGCTGCAGCAGTGGGACTGTATGTACAGTGCAAGAACATACAGATGTGGTTGATTGATTGGAGAATGCTGGGTCATGTATCTCACTGTACAAATCCACTGCTCCAGCTACTAAATTTAAATATCTTAACATACTAGGTGATTTTATATAGATAGATAGATAGAGATAGAGATATATATATAGTAATAGTAGTAAAGTTGGAAGGGACCTTGGAGGTCATCTAGTCCAACCCCCTGCTCAGGCAGGAAACCCTACACCATTTCGGACAAATGGCTGTCCAGTCTCTTCTTAAAAACTTCCAGTGTTGGAGCATTTACTGCTTCTGGAGGCAGGCTGTTCCACTGATTAATTGTTCTCACTGTCAGGAAGTTTCTCCTTAGTTCTAGGTTGCTTCTCTCCTTGATTAGTTTCCACCCGTTGCTTCTTGTCCTGCCTTCAGGTGCTTTGGAAAATAGCTTAATTCCCTCTTCTTTATGGCAGCCCCTGAGATATTGGAATCTATATTGTTTTGCTGGCAAACTGTTGTATTTCAAACCCCTTCTAGAGCTCATATTTCTTTTCTTACAATTTGTTTTTTGCATTTATAGCCAAATACAAAATACATGTGTGGCGTTATTATTTTTCAAAAGGTGAAGCCCTAAGTTCTTATCTCTTTCAAATATACATAAATGGTAGGGGTGAAAAAAAAATCAAACTATTAATTAGGTACCGTAAGCTGTTAGAGATGGAAGGCTTTGTTCTATGTAACCATATTCCAGCATTTTCATTTGAAACCCCAAAAGCACTTTCAAGAGATACGATGCATCATTGGTACTAAACACTGATTTCTTGGAACTGTAATATTAAAAACCCCATATCATCTACTGTTGTCAAAAGGCCTCATTCTTTAAACATTATCGAAATAGTAGCATCAATTATGTCACAGAAGTAACAGAAGAACTGGTCTTTTTTTTTTTAAAGATCAGTTGTGATTTTTTAAAATCACAAACACAGAACTCCTTCGACGATATGAATCTATACTTTCTCAGGAGGAGATATATACCCATCTATTGGACAGATCCTGAATATGAATAAGACCATAGCACAAACTTAAAATAACCTGGTGATGTCCTCTGTGCCACCTCTGCCCTGTAACAGACCTCCCTTCAAATTAGATTTTTTTCCACAGCCTTCCTAACTCAATCCAATTACTTGTCATATACAACAAACTCTATTTGGCTGTCCACTGACAGAACATCTTACAATCCCAAAGCAGCTAACGTCAGTGGTTTTGTAAGAGTGGAAACTGGGCTGAAATTGAAGCCAAGTTCCTATCATTTCACCAGCTGATAATGAATGTGCTCCTAATTTCGCTCCAAGATGTTGTCATATATATAAAATACTCCAAGATGATCGCTTAATGAACTGTTAATGAGAATGCATATGCTTTCCCGCAACACACAATGCAATATTATTAAAAGTACCACCTTTTAATATTTAATATAGTGTGTTTCTTGCAAATGTCCTTAAGAGTCTCACGATGTAGAAGGAGATGCCAAAAATAAAAAAGCCTCTCCACAACCTCACCAAACAATAAAAAATAAATAAATAAAAAACACCAAAAAACAGACCACCGGCACCGCCTCCAAAGTTGAAGGTGGAAACTAGTCTAAGAGATTATCTTGGGCATTTAGCTCATTTTTAGCTGTGCTAAACACATTTTGTCATAATTTTCCTTCTAATCATGGGGATGGTGGACTTGAAAAAAATTGAAGTGCTCTCTGTGACCCCTTCCTCAGTCAGTGATTTATCTCTCCAAGACTGTTATCTGAGAGATGCAGCAGGAGTGGACAGGAATTCCCAATGCCCATCTGAGAATTTTCACTGCTCACAATGATTTGAAAACAAACAAGCAACATAAGCTGCAGCCCTTCCAAACGACCAGTTCTGCAATTTTGGGGTGTACCCAGGCTCGGCATTAAGAAGGCAAGATGCTGCTGTGGCAAGAAGTGCGTTCTGCAGAACTTTGGCTGATGCTTGTTCATGAAAAAACTTGTCTGGCTACACAACAGTTACAAACTATATGGACAAAATCAAAACTGCCTTTTTGGGGAGGAGGTGTACCCTTGAATCTATTTTAACTCCTTTTTCTTTTCAGCAGTAATTTTTCCATGCTTTTTTTTTTTTTTTAACCACTAAGAGAGAGACTGACCCAAAATCACCCAGCTGGCCTCATGCATATGACAGGACTAAAATACATGACCTGATTTCTACCAAAGTGTCTTTACAAACTAGTTCTCAAAACTAACAGTATTTCCCCGAATATTAACATGTTCATTTGGTCACTTTTCAAGTGTCTCTCTATGAATTTTGCTAGGATTGTCTGTCAGTGTCTATTTCTGTAAGTTCCTATAAACCAGTGTTTCTCAAACCTTGACAATTTTAACGCATGTGGACTTCAACTCCCAGAATTCCACAGCCAGCTGTGGAATTCTGGGAGTTGAAGTCCACATGCATTAAAATTGTCAAGGTTGAGAAACAGTGCTATAAACTCTTGCTTATGTCATTAATGATAGTATTTAGCCACTTTTGTCATCTGTTTTCCTGCCTTCCATTATTTTTAAAATAATCATTTTCCCCCACTGTCTCTTATCTTTACATCATGTTTCCAAAATATTTAAGCCTTGGCTTCATTATTACTATTTCCAGTGAACGGTTCGGTCTCAAAATTCAGAAAGGAAATACAGCACAATTAATATGCTACTGCAAGGTTTCAAGCATACTAAACATAAATCAGACTCTTAAAATGATACAAAAAAAAATGCCTTTTTCAGAACCATCCTGTCTTGCACCAGTAGTTACAAGCATAGGAGGTTAGAGTTAGACCAGATTTCTTTATGTCAGTTATAAATCTCACCACAGTGCATGAAATGAGAAAATTCAGGAAAAGCTAACGAACTTTTTCAGTTGCTGAGGTTCCATGCATGGAGGTTTTCTTGTTTCACACTGAGCCTTGGAACTGCAGAGGCTCTGAGCAGCAGCTCCACCAGTATAATGCTGCTTCTGGATGGTGTTTTGATTGAGCTGAATGGCTGGGACTGCCAGCAGAGCTGGTGCTGTTTACTGGAGAAGTGAGAGGAGATTAAAATGGTTGCAGCGATACAAGTAGCAGCAATGGAGCAGTAACATGTCTGCCTCTGCCTTTCCTGGTGAAGAAAGGGAGCTAGAGAGTGGCATGGATGAGACTAGGAGAGGAGAAGAAGCAGGTGGTGTTGGGTTTAGGGTGCTGGTCAGATTTTGGCACTAGAAGAGGGTTGAATATATGGACGGGGCCCCGGGTCCTGGATGAGAGTTGGCAAGCACAGTGCTATAGGGAGAAGAGGCAGGCAGGAACATTGCAATGGTGATGGGCTAGGACAGGGGTCCTCAACCTTGGCAACTTTAAGTCTTGTGGACTTCAACTCTCAGAATTCCTCAGCCAGCTGGGAGTTGAAGTCCACAAGTCTTAAAGTTGCCAAGGTTGAGGACCCCTGGGCTAGGGAAATAAGCCGTGAGTCACGGCGTGGCATGCTTATGAGGAATATATTTCTGGTGTCTTACATTCCTATCATCCCTTTTATCTGCCCTGAATACCAAGATGTTAAACTTTAGGAGGCCCGGGGTTTCCAGGTATTGTACACAATACCAGGTTGATCTCTTAACAAAGCTCACCGCAATTGTGATCTAATTTTGAACAAGAAGGCTGATCCGGTGTGCATTACTCAGACTTGGCTGGGCACATGTGTTTATGTGCCCCTCTCCAAAATGTGCCCATCCAAGTTTCAATGGTAGCATTACCCATACTTCAGCAATGGGATAGAGAAGGGAGTACAGTATAGTTATTCAGGGGACTCTGGTTGTTAGGGTGCTGCCTTGTAGACAGCTGGGCCTTAAGGAGCAGTAGGGGCTACGGTTGCTCCTGTATCCGTCTTCCTGTCTCATAGCAGCTTCCCTGAAGCTACTCGATGTTATACTGAGGCTAACAATGGAGCCAAGGTAAAAACTTTTTAAAAAGCTTATTTTGTGCCAATAAAAGCAGAGAAATGGGTCCATGCCCTTCCTGGTTCACCACTCCATTTTGCTGCCTTAATGCAGTGGGCATGCTGAAAATGACAGCTGCTTCTGTGAGGTCATGGCGCAGTTCAGGGATGCTGAGGTCATGGCGCAGCTCAGGGACGCATGGCCTGCCTTCCTTTCCCAACATGAGGTCCGGAAGTTTTCAAAAGTAAGTATGTGATGTGTGATGTGTGTGAGGAGAGTAGGCCCAAGGCCTGTGGAGTCCTGCCAAGGTGGGATGGAGGGGGGACGCTTAAACTGCATGTTAAGTGTACAGTAACTAAAACCTTTCAGACTACTACGGGTAACATTGTGAAAAATATGCACGATTGCAAAGGCATTAAAACCCCAAAAT